ATGAGTTCCAAAGATGTAATGCAGAACAATGGTTTTCTCTTACCAATTAATGATCATTATAAGCACAAGTTYTTCACTTGTGATTGCTTGTGGTTTGTGAATCAGTATKCATTCTCAGTTGCTTACCATTCAGCTGAAACACTCTCGCTCTAGAATCTGAGAAATACCTACTKTTTCTCAAGAYAYAGTTCGCTACATTGACCGSTTCTAATGGTTCTTTTAGTAACAAACATTTTAAACCAAAGTGCTTACATGAAGCCAAAAAATCTGAAATTTCCACAAACATTGCAGTAAGMCTAGTAGCAAATTTAAATTTTCTCGCCTTACAGGGCTCCTATGAMSCTGAAAATCCTAAAGTTTTCACAAAAATCACTGCTAATTGTGATTTTTGGCAATTTTGTTTGGGTTGARARCGAAGGTTTCGWATCAATTGCGCACGCGGCTTTAAAAATGTATAACTTTCATTCGAGACCGCGTAGGAAGTTGAAATTTTCTCACCCTGTAGAACTTACATATAGCTAACACAGCTAGAATTTTCGCAAAATTCTCGGTAAATTCCAATATTTAGGAGCTCTGTAAGTGACCGGAAAAAGTGAAAGATTTTYCCCAATGGCGAGTTCKCATTTAAAAATTCGTMTTTTTCRATCTRGAGCCGGCAGAAAGTWGAAACTTGCYCGTCCTGTAGCACTTATTTACAGCYAAACACTYTGAAGTTCTCCAAAAAACYACAGTTMAATCTGATTTTTTGCAAGCCTGTAAATGATAAACTAAAAATAAATATTTTTGCTCAGCCACGCGCTCCWTTTAAAAATTCGTAACTTTTAATCTAGGTTGAGTAGCAGRTTGAAATTTCMTCACCCTGTAGSGCTGACATGAAGCTGAAATCTCGAAAGTTTTCACAGAAATCACAGTAAACTCTSATTTTTAACTACTCTGAAACTTATGGGTAGAAACTTCAGATMTTCTATCAAYAGCGCGCTTTGCTTAAAAACATCTTAACTTCCAATCTAGGACCAGTAGCAAGTTGAAATTTTCTCAATCTATAGAGGTTGGATGACCCTGACAAACCTAACATTTTCACAGAAATCACACTAAATTCCGATTTTTGAGAACTCTGTAAATGATGGGCTAAAAATCGATGTTTTCCATCGATTGTCCGCTTTGATTTAAAAATGTTTAAGTAACATTCAAGAGCGGGTAGGCATGAAAAATGTTCTCACCCTATAGAGCTCACATGAATCTGAAAACCCGAAAATTTTCGCAGAAGTCACAGTAAATTGTGATTTTTGGCAACTCTATAAATGAGGGGCTAAAAAACAATTTTGTCAATTGCGCGCTTTGCTTTAGAAATTCCTAACTTCCAACCTAAGCCTAGTAGCAAATTTAAATTTTCTCGCCTTACAGGGCTCCTATAAACCTGAAAATCCTAACGTTTTCACAAAAATCACTGCAAATTGTGACTTTTGGCAATTTTGTTTAGGTTGAAAACGAAGGTTTCGAATCAATTGCGCACGCGGCTTTAAAAATGTATAACTTTCATTCGAGACCGCGTAGGAAGTTGAAATTTGCTCACCCTATAGAACTTACATGAAGCTGCGAATCGTGAAATTTCCATTAAAATCTCAAGGAGTTCTGATTTTTACTACTCTGTTAGTGACGGGTGGAAAATGAAGGATTTAATCAATTGCGCCTTCTTATTTGAAAATTCGTATTTTCCAATCTAGAGCCGACAGAAAGTTGCAATTTGCTCACCTGTTAGGCTTTACTTAAAGCTAAAAACGGTTAAATTTGCACTGGCATCACAGTTAAATTTGAGTTTTGGCAAGCTTGTAAATAGCGGACCAAACGAAAGCAAATTTTCTCAACGACGCGTTTTTGTTAAAACTTCGTAATTTCCATCTAGGGCGAGTGCTAAGTTAAACTCGCACGTGACTGAAAAATCGGCAAATTCTACAAAAACTGCGGTAAACTCTGATTTTTGGCAAATCTGTAAATAATCGGCTAAAAATGAAGAATTTGCATCCACTGCGCGCTCTGCATTAAACATTCCTAACTTTCAAAATAGAACCGCTAGCAACTTCAAATTTTCTCACCCTGTAGAACTTACATACAGCTAACACAGCTAGAATTTGCAGAAAAATTCCAATTTTTAGAAACTCTGTAAGTGGCGGGATAAAAATGAGAGATTTTTCTCAATTGCAAGTTTGCATTTAGAAATTCGTATTTTTCAATCGAGAGCCGGTAGAAAGTTGAAACTTGCACGTCCTGTAGAACTTACTTAACGCCAAGAACTATGAAATTTTCTCAAAAACCACAGTTAAATCTGATTTTCGGGAAGCCTGTAAATGACGGACCAAAAATAAATATTATCGCTTAGCCAGGCGCTCCTTTTAAAAATTCGTAACTTTTAATCTAGGTAGAGTAGCAGGTTGAAATTTGCTCACCTTGTAGAGCTCATCTGAAGCTGAAAAYCCKAAAATTTTCWCAGAARTCACACTAAATTYTGATTTTTGGCAACTYTGTAAATGACGGGTTAAAAATGAACAATTTTGTCAATTGCGCTTTTTGCTTTCAAAAATMCTAACTTTCAATCAAAAACGGGAAGCAAGATAAAAYTTTSTCATCCTCCACAACTCAAAAACCTGAACTTTCAACAGAAATYGTAGCAAATTATGATTTTTGSCAACYMTGTAACTGATGGGTTAAAAATGAACGGATTTGAATGAAAATTCGTAAATTCCAATCTGGAGCGGGTTCATAGATAAAATTCGCTCACCCTATACAACCTTAGCTGAAGCTAAAAACCCAAACGTGTCCACTAAAAGGGCAATTAAATCTGATTTTTGCCAAACGCGTGAATCAGGGACCAAAAATTCATATTTTTCTGCAACTTCGCGCTATTTAAAAATGTATAACTTCCAATCCAACGCCGATGGCAACATAAATTTTGACCACCCTATAGAAGACACTTGGCGCTTCAAACCAGGAACTTTTCACTCAAATTACAAACAATCGTGATTTTTCCCCATCGTGTTAATGATGGGCCAAAAAAAAGATTTTTGCCACAGCTGCATTCTACGCTTTAATAACGTCTAACTTTCAATCTAGAGCCGCTAGCTACCTGAAATTTGGCCACCTTATAGAAGTTGATTGACGTTCTAGATACCAAAGATTTTACGGAAATTGCAGAAAATCCTGCTTTTTGCCAGCCCGGTAAATGGTGGTTCAAAAATGAAGTTTTCTCCAACTGCGCGCTCAACTTTAATATCTGTTCAATTGCAAACCAAAGCAGCTAGCGATTTCAAATTTCCGCACCCGATCGAAGAATCTTGGCACTGTTAACGCTGAAAATTTCGCTCAAATCACACAAAATTCTCATTTTTTTCGTCTTGTAAATGCACAAATCAATATTATTGCTCACTTAAAACTCCGCAACGCCCAACTTAGAGCGCGTAGCAACTTGAGATTGGCACACCCTATAGAAGACACTTGACTTCCAAATCGCAGAAATTTTCACTCAAATTACATGCAATTCAGATTTTTTTAATTGCAAATTAAAGCTTGCCCTACACTTTTCTGTTTTAAACATTCCCCACTCCCAAACCAGTGAAGGCAACAACTTGAAATTTGCACACCCTTTAGAAGACACTTCCACGCAAAATAGGCTTAATTTTGATTTTTGCCAATCCAGTACATGGTGGGTCAAAAATGGATGTTTCCCTTGACCTGTGCAAATCAAGTAGCCACAAAACTGTCAATATCTCCAAAATTGTTGAAGATTGACAACTAGTGCGAAGGATCAATTTGATAGAGCTGTCAGAACACTGTCTGACCCAACCAAAAAAGTGACATGTTTCACTTAGCGCACTCCTTGAAGAGCCAATGAAAACATCCCAATGACTTGATCTGCCTAATAGCCTAATGGCATTCTATTGACTGTATAAACGATGGTTAATTGCGTTATTTCGGAATGAAAATGTGTGTTTACATTCCAAATTGAAACCTCAACACTGTCAATTAGAATTTGTATAAACATTACCGTCGCTGACAATACACATTAAAGGTATCGCATAATTTTCCACTTAACTTAACAACTTAATATCCTCCTAAATGACTGGCCGTAATTCTCTATTTCAAACGTTTCGTGCCCGGATCAGTTGCGCCATCTCCAACCCGGCAACTGAACCGTCAGTTCCTCAATTTCCCAACATCAACCTTGTTCAATGTGGGACGCATGCTTGCGGAAACCACGCCTTTTTACCCTTTCCCCCATCATACGCCATAGATCTATTAATAATAGTCGGGTTGTTATTGGCTAAAAATGCAGGTATGGAAACACGCATTTAACATGGCAACTTAAAAATGATGGACCACATCTGTAGTGTGTAGTTGCGTTTGTTATTGTTGGTCATGTAATGTTGGGTTTTTTTCCCTTTCCTGTTTATGTGTGCTCAACACGAATATGGTGGAATTTCAATTACATTAGTTTTTTCCTCGCTTGCGGTTAGAAGGTTAAAAGCATGTCTTTCGGAAGACCAGTTTCGCAACACAAGTTTAAGCAGGGGCGTCGAGATACACTAACACCATTTATTTTAATTGTTTTTTTTTGTTTGCCATTTTTCTGGAACTCGCGAGTTCAAAAGCCCAGACGCCCCCTGGTGGTTAAAATTACAGCTACAAGTCAAGTAGTAATTTGACACTTGCTTTGTTGACATTGGTGTCACATTGATGTTTACATCTGATTGAAATTTGTTTTGTTTTGTGCTAATCAACTGTTGCAAGCTTTTGTTTTAGGTTATAAATGTCATCAACTCCAATAAATCAAGTCTGACAAGTCTCAACTGTCACTCGAGAACGCGTAAATTGATGTTTCGCAGCGCCCCCATCCAACTGCCGATGTTCCGAAGAACGCTCACATTTTAGTTTAACTGAATTTTAGCAGTAAAACTGGTTTTGAGGATTTTTTGTGTAAAAAAATTAAAAAGTGAACGCAACCACAGCAATGGCCTGTCGTCTGCTGTCATCTAGTCCAGAACCAAGTACCCATCGTCTGTCGTTCTATTGCAAACGTCAGACGAAGATAGAACCACTTCTGAGTCCCAAAAGAAGCTAATTGGGCGTGGCGTGTGGACAATCCTTCGCCCTTAACTAGAATGCCTATTTTCGGGTATATATTTTTTATGTCCTTCAATTGTAAGCATTCCAAACTTGGAATTGAAAATAATAACCGAGTTTATATGTGAAAAATATTTGAATCAAAAAACAGTTGTCAAAAAAATGTTGTCTTTCTACAGTGATCACGTTCAGCGCCTTCTATGCATACTCGGGAATAATTTATTTGACTTTCGTGACGGATGACGGTTTATACAGGATAACCTAAAAAAATCATTTCTGTTTTCATGTTTGCTTAAAGTCCATGTTGTTGTTTTTGTTTTCTTCATATTTTCCTTTTGCAAGGGCATTTTTTAGTAAATACAGATTCTGGCTACTTAGGAACAATTAGAGCTTCGCAAGTTACCCAGAATGGATCCAGCCCTGCTCCGAGAAAGGGAGCTGTTCAAGAGAAGGGCTCTAACCACCCCCACGTAAGTCCTGGGGCTCAGATCAGATTCTCACATATAATCTTGTTTGGAAAGTTGTCTCTAATGCTTAGAGTTTGCAATTACATCCCAGGAACTGTAATATAAGTACACAACTGAATGTTTGCATTTCTTATGCGCTGGTAAAAACATTAGCTGCAACTACTGAGTTGCAGCTAATATATGAGTCCAGCTAGTTTCTCATGTGCCAGTGCGGTAAATTTTGGGCCGATGCAGAACCCTGTTTATAAAAAATCGTTGATTTACGGTTCCAATTAGTGCTAAGAGTTCTGAACAGACAAATAACTCTCCTATTAAAACCTACAGAGTGATTTTTGCGTCATTACAGGGTTGAGAAGAAGAAGACTGAGTCGAAACCGGAGCCTGTGCGCGATGAGAAGAAAAAATCCAAATCGAGCTCAGCCAGTTCGGCACCGAAGCTCGATGTTAACACGTAAGTTCCACTTTCCCCTAGTCCATGCAGGCAAGCCCAATTTAATCAGAATCTGTTAACTTTCCAGCTATAAAACCGCCTCCGGCAGTTCCCAGTATCGCTTTGGAGTACTAGCAAAAATCGTCAAGCACATGAAACAAAGACATCAGGATGGCGAATCATATCCACTAACTTTGGAGGAAATCCTCGATGAAACCAATCAGTTGGATGTAGGAAACAAAGTGAAGCAGGTAAGAGCGACGGGTTGGCGCAAACACGTCCATTAATCCAGTTTAATTAATCTCTAAGTGGCTGCAAACTGAAGCGTTGGGCAACAACCCGAAAATCGAAGTGTCTCCGGATGGGAAATACTTGTTCAAAGCGACCTACAAGTTGAAAGACCGCAAAAGTTTGCTGAAACTCTTGAAGCAGCAGGACCTGAAAGGATTGGGGGGCATTTTGCTGGAAGAAGTCCAAGAGTCGCTGCCCCATTGCGAAAAGGCCTTAAAGGTGCCCAGTTGGAATCAACCACATCGTTAACATTCAACTGCTTTCTCTTTGCAGATTTTGTCGAATCAGAATGATATCATTTTCGTTGCCAGACCCATGGATAAAAAGAAGATTTTGTTCTACAACGACAGAACCGCTCAGATGCCGATTGATGACGAGTTTCAGAAACTGTGGCGCTCAGTGGCGGTGGATGCGATGGACGATCAGAAAATCGAGGAATATTTGGATAAGCAAGGCATCAGATCGATGCAAGATCACGGCCCGAAAAAACCAACAGCGATCAAACGGAAGAAGGCCAACCAAAGGAAGAAGACGTTCAAAAAACCGAGGGACAACGAGCATTTGGCTGATGTGCTGGAAACCTACGAAGACAACACACTGACTCAAAAAAATTCCATGTAGCCGCAATGTAAATACTTAAAACTCCAACAAAATCACTGTTTCTTAATGACTTAATTTATTATGAAAATATAAAATAAGCTAAAAAGTGACTACAAAAATATTTAAACATGTAGGGCATACATGACTTAAATTTAAATACACAATAAGTCCTACCGCTAGGGTTACATACAAGTACGCTTGCAAATCATACAAGCAAGCTCAAACAACTAGCCGATTAATTAAGGAACCCCTTAAACACTTACTAATATAGTAACTTTATGGACATTTTGGCTGAGCCAAAAACCCCAAAGGGGGAACAAACTAAGCGAAAACGTTCCATAATCTTTGACTTTCATATCACAGGCAATTTGAGATGTTCCGATCAAGGGTGAATGATTGCAAATCATCGATGAACCATCACTAACTAGGGGTATATGGGATATATCAAATTTAACGTAGATTTAGAGTAATCGTTGGTCAATAACTAAACATAAGTGATTATTATTACAGCATAATGTGGGGCTTCAGTGGTATTTTGATTTATTTTTGTTATTCACATGTTTGAGATCAGATTTTGTTCGGGTGTGAGAACTCAATCGATTTCTTAATTTTGGCAGATTTGCATCCGTATTGAGCAGTCTTCGGTTCAATGAGAAATCAGGATAAGTTTGTGCTTAATTCTTGCTGAATTTTGTCAGTCTCCGAGCAGTAAATTGGGCAATTTCTAGCGGAAAATAAGGATGCTAAATGCTAACCGAAGCCCCATTCTAAATTTCCATTACTCCAACTGAGCTGAGATTTCTCATTGGTTTTCCTCTAACGACCCCCTAGAGGGCGGCGTACAAAATTACAACTCACATCAAAAGACAAACATGATCAAGAAATTAACTGAACTTCTTGCCGTTCCTCCTGTTCCCACTTCAAGCTCAACTAATTACCTTAACATTACAGGTGTATAATAATTATAACATGAAGAGCTTCTAAATATATCACAACTAGGGTAGTTTATATAGTTAGGAAACCACATAATTAGACAATAGAATGTGTGGATGCGTCCTCAGTTGAACTTAATCGGTCTGATGCTTTGGAGATTTGCCAACCATTGCAGGGCAGTTTTACATTGAATTTAGTACAGTAAAACCCATTTAGTTCGAACTTCCAGTATTTTACCTAAGAAATATCCAATTAAGCGCATACGATTTGCAGTAAAATAATGAAAGTGCAATAAAAAAGTTCGGACTATCGAGATTCTACTGTACTGATTCTCATTGCAATGATAATTAATAATTTGACAACTCCTTCGTTGGTTTAACGTGAGGTTCAACATCAGACACTCCGTTAAATGAAACGTGCAAATAATACAGGATGTTTCCAAACAGAATTTTGAAAAAATCGCAACTTTATAACGGTCATTTGCGTCTTCTATGAAACACCCTGCATGTTGGGTAGTTCTCAAGAAATTGCCCCTGTCTGGCTCCAGCTGCTAAGATGAAAAAGGCATAAAAATCTACCTACGTCACGTCAATAGGGTTGCTCCTACATAGGCAACGGGGGCGGCGGGGAGCCGTGCGAGGGGCGGCGACCTCAGAGAATTGCGCAACAACGACAATATCGAGAACGTGCAGTTGAACCCATTGGTGGAGGCGTCACCGGAGCAAAGTAAGCGTGCACTTTAATCATCGGCAAATAGTTCTGAAACGTCCCAATCCAGTGGGCCAAAGTTTGACAAATGACAGCGTCTGACTTACCCTCAGTCGTTTGATCCCCGCCCGGGTGATCAGTTGACAGTCGTACAATTCGATTCGTTGTAAATTGTGACATGAAGTTAGATATTCCAGTGACGCGTCAGTGACCAGCGGGCAATTGTCTAGTTCTAATATTGTCAAATTTTCGGCAGCACACGGTGACATTGACAGGTGCCGAATGCCTTCGTCGGTTATCAGTTCGCAGTGCGATAAAGTCTGAAAAATATCCATAAATATGAGGACAGGTTGGACGTGGAGGACGTGAAACAAAGGGGAACTTCACAACTTTGGACGAGAGTAGACCACTCACCAAATACTCTATTCGTGGACATCCCATCGCCAAATGTATTAACGTGGCATCGGTAATAAGAACGCACCCATCCAAGTCCATTTTCTCTAAATAGCGGCAACTCTGAAACATGCAGGCGCCCCATAAGTGCCTGAGCAAGCGAAAAACCTGAGCGACTCCTTACCCGAGCCAAGGCCAGAAATCCTGCATCGGTAAATTGCGCACATCCTGCAACTTCCAGCGTGGAAAGCATGGTGCTATACTGTGCGAGGGCAAGCAAGGAAGCATCGGTTAGAGCTGAGCAACTAGATAGACACAAGTAGTGGAGTTTGGGACACCTTTCGGCTAAGGCTTGAACGGCCTCGTCTCTAATAGTCTACAAGCGAAAAAAAGGTTGGAAAACCCCCAGCTAGGCTGATTAGAGCGGCATTTTACCCCACAGCCCATCAGATTCATGACTTCTAAATTGCTGCAGTATCTAGCCAGGCAAATAACGCCCCTCGACGTGATTTGTTCGCAGCCCTTGGCAATGAAACACGTTAGTTTCGGACAGCCCCTTGCTAGAGCCTCCACGCCATTCTCTGTAATGTTGCTGCACCAACTGATATTTATGGTAGTTAAATTGACACATCCATCACTAAGAGCTTTGAGGGACTTATCAGTGATCAGTGGACAGCCGTCCAGGTTGAGTCTTTGCAATTTATGGCAGTGGCGCGATAGAGCGGTGCATATTGTATCTGAAATCTGCCAAAGAATTATGATCAGCCTCAACTACCAGCAATTGCAGGCCAAGCACCTTCTTGCAGTCGTTCACATTAAGATCCTCAATGTTTTGGCATAACAGAGCTAAAGTTTTCATTGAGCCATCCCCAACTGACTGACAACCCCTCAAAGAAAGCTTTCTGAGAAATCCGCCACATCGTCTGGAGATATTCTCGATTACGGGGCCCTAAAATCGCTCGATTTATTCACCTGGTTTAGTGTCTGGTCGGATTCGATCCGTTACCTCGACATCCTTTTGGAAAGCGAACAGATCGATTCTCTGCCAGTTTGAGCCGTCCAAAGCCAACACGTTCCAGGCTTTTGAGACTTGAGCGCACCGGCATAGGGAGACAACATCCAAAAATGAAAAAATTCTCAACAGCAGTTCCTTGGGTAGTTTTTTATTGATCGATGCTTCGTCGTCGCGGAAGGCCTGAAAATTTCCGGTTAATCAGTTCTCCTACACACCGACCAAATAGTTACGTTTCCATTGAAATAGTAATAGGAAAACACCAAGCTGGAAGAATGCCACATTTTAAGTGAAATGTTTGAATTGCAATCAGTCAGCGAAGCTGACTAGGCTTTCTTACGTAAACTGTGTGGCAGGATGTAAGTGCCGATCAGCAAAAAATGTTTTACCTGAAACCTTGCGGAATCCGATGCCATGTTAGACTTTACCAATAAAGGTCCGTCCAGCCTTCACTACGTCAGCTATCAGTTGCGGTCATTCAGCAGCTTCGCTTTGGATGAACCACCACTGCGGCACAAGGAAAAAGTTACTTAAGGGTTAAAAGAAATCATTTTTGAGATTTCACAATGTTCAAAAACGCTTCCAGCTACCTCCAAGGGGGGGTCACGACCCCCATGACCCCCCCTTGGTCTCAGGGCCCTTTTGAGCATGTGCTTACGCGACATCCTGAATATAAGGAATAACGAGGGCCTTTTCGGACGCCAAAAACTCTTCATTTATAAGGAATAATATTGGGAATTTACCCAACCAACCTTAGAAGCTGCTTAAGGCCTTGGAGCTCAGTCAATACATTGGAATTTTAAACACTCGAAAACTTGGCAACTCATTGAAGTTGATGCACCTTGCGTGCATTCTTTGGCCACTGGCTCTAATTGTGCGCCCCTCCAAAACACGTATCGAGCGCATTTTTCCGCAAATACCGCACTGAAAAAGTATCGCGTTTCTATTGCTTGAAAAGCTTGCAAAGTTGAGTAGAACAAAACAAAACAAATCGAAGTCAGATGTAAACATCAATGTGACACCAGCGTCAACAAAACAAGTGTCAAATTACTACTTAACTGGGAGTTTTAACTTTTTCCCCCAGGGGGCGTATGGACTTTTGAACTCGCGAACTGAACCCATAAAAACTGCCAGTTTTGACACTGAAAAAACATCAAAAAAGTCAACTGAATCAAAAAATGTGTTTATCGAAAAAATTTTATAAAAGAGCATGAAAAGCGGCGCTGTTTGCGCCCAAAAAGGTGCGTATTGATCAATAAAGTCCAAAAAAGCGCCAAATGTCTACGCAAAATTCCTCTCAGCCCAACTGTAACGTTCCAAAATTTCCAAGTTTTTAATCTCAGAACAGTTTCGCACTAATTGCATCTAATCCATATCAGACATATCAACGATTTACAACCAACTGCGCCTAGTAGAATTGTTCAAAATCCTCTGCTCGCCTTTGTCTGAAACCACAAAGAAAAATCACACGTATCGATCCATAGGGGATGATCCACAATCCCTTTAAAACCACCAAACAAAGTAAATCAGGAGCGATAAAACTTCTTCAGAACGCATTGGATCAATGTGCATTTAAAGTGTAACCTCGTGTTTAAAATTAGCCAGCACGTAGTTCGATGTCAATAAACGACCATTTTTAAAAGCAGCTAACAAAGAGAGCAGAACTTGTACGGTTTTTATCAGTCAACGACACTAAAACATGGTTTTTTCGTATTCTCAAGCAAACCAAGACAGCACATGCCACCTGATTGGCCAAACAACAAAGCAATCCATTGTTTTTAAACAAAATCGCAGCAAGCTGAGCTGGGATCAGCTGTTAGCCATCAAACAATGGTCAATCAAAACAATCGCTTATACCTTGCTCTAAGGCTCAATAGCTCGGTTACCTTAAGCTGCCATTCTGTCCAGGCCTTGGCTATCGTTGCAACCAAAAGTGTTCGCAAATCAACTCACACAGCTTAAATTAATCGTACACTCTTAACTATACAAACACCTTTACCAAACTGACCGTCTCGGTGAACGGCCTTGGATCTTTTGAGATTTTCAGACAAAGACAGACGGGAGTTTCCTGCTCCAACACACGAGAATACTGGCTATTTCCGATTTTTCTACATTGTTGTCAATAGCGCGTTTCGGAGGGAAATTCAAAAATCTTGGTCTACCTGCGAGGATTTTCCTTGTATTTATTAGATTTAACTTTCAGTTGGTTGTCTAATAACGTTTGTCTTGTGGCGCAGGAGGGAAATTGCAAAACCCGAAAATTTCCTGGTGGAATGGAAATTACGGGTCTGCCCCGCATACTGGACAGGTTGGCGAATGCGCTGACTGCTTACTCGGTCTCTGCCATTCCAGGTAAAAAAAAACCTAAACATTTAATAGAATGAAAAAGGAGAGTGGTACACAAACCAGGAGTTTCATGGGGAAGGAGCATTATTTTAGCCACGCATTCTAGGTCCGACTATAACGCTGGCCCAAAACTGCTTCTCTAGAGATTTGCAGGGTACTGAAATCTGATTTAAAATACGATGAATTGCTTCAAAAGGTACAAACTTTAGCGATATATTCCACAGTCCCAAGACCAACAGCTAGTAAAGACGCAAGTCTTGCAATAAAATTAATTTGTTGGGCCGCAGCCTCCATGTCGCGTATAACCAAATAGATTCGTGGCCGCCCAATTGTCCGGAAAAATCTGTAGAAGTTTCCTAAAAATCAAGCAATAGCCTTATCCAAGGGTTAGCCTTTAATGAAACATAAATCTAATCGGCTCCATGATTGGATTAATTTATCTTTAGCGGGGAAAGTTGTTTTGGCTACCGCGAGCATCCAAATAACGAGTTGCAACGGAAAATTCACATTTGAAAATATTACCGTGCGAACAGGCACTTTCTGCAAAATAGTCAACAATAAAAAAATGGAATCGAACAGCAAAGTAAAGCGATGAATGACTCAGCTAAGGGACAATTATATCATCATGTTAGTTCCGAAGCGAAGCTGGCCAAAATGTTCAGTTTGATACGGACAAAGAATGAGTCGGGATCGCGGGTCCCTTGTGCCTTTCCGGAAGTTATTTTGTGCGAACACTAAAACAAGTGCAGTATATAATCCTGCTCGTTAACTGCAAGTTTTCAATTTGGCGTAAATCTTCATTGTGTGGCCAATTGTAGTGAGTTTTTTTAGATTAATAATGCATCGAAAATGGAGGATGGAGCGCCAGCTTATCAAGTAAATCACATCTATAGAAATTAGGGCTCGGAATTTTTTWAAATCTGATATTCGAATATTCGTTTAGTGGTTTATTCGAATAGTAAAATTATTCGAATACTCATCTAACGAATATTCGAGTATTTCTATTCGTATTCGTTAGATAWTCGAGTRTTCGTTTTCCGTTCACGGTTTTCCAAGAAGAAAAATCGTTATCTCATATCATTTTTGGCAACTAGCCGCAACAGATAAAAAAGTGCCTTTGTCGGCACATTAATTGTAACACCGCGCAAAAGTTGATCGCGTATCACCAGAACACAGAGACGTAATTTTACATSACTACACATAATTATTCGCTTTTCGAATATTCGKATACTCGAATTATTCGAGTTTGATTYCGAGCCCTAATAGAAATCCCTTTTTTTTTTAGTTTTATTTGAAGTTTTTAACGATTCGCGGTACGTGGAAAAACGCGGCCACTTCGGTTTTCTYKCTTTCTTTCCAAGAACGAAAACTTTAAAAGGTAGTTTGGGAATGAATTCTGATTCTCTAAGGAGAAAAGTGTAGGGAAAATTGCAACATTCATAAAACACTTGATAATTATTAGTAATATATACATGCACTTTGGAAACCAAACAATTGAATGTAATAAATATCCGCAGCAGTTCATTGAACATCAAAAATCGCACCTTTTACATGTATACTTTTCCCCTTACAAAAGAAAAAATAATGGACACCTTTGAACAGTTGATAAACCCCAATATCACAAACAGTACAAATAACATAAACTTGCCTTCACTTGACCTCACCAACCACGACCCCCATTGCACAATAAAACAATAAAAATCTCGACGCTGAATAAAATGCCATCAATTTAGTCCAGTCCCATGTACTTATACTAGTGCGTAGTCTTATATTTAACAAATTCAATTCTGCTGTTGCTCCTGCTCTTGTAGTAAAAACCGCTGCAACCTGAAACCCAAAATTCCAATAAACCTGCCTGTACACAGAAAAATCAAGTTCCAAACCTTCTTCTTCTGATCTCCTCTTCCGCGGACGTAGAGCTCGCTTCACTCAGCAAGTCAGAATTGTTACTCTTGGGACTTTTTTCTGGGAGAACTGATGCAGTCTCACCACTCGCTGAATCTAGAAAACTGCAAATCTACACGTGCCCACCAACTAACGCCAAGGGCCATACCTTCAGGCGGTTGATCGGCGCTAGGTGTCTCTCCTGCATTTTCATTGGCTGCAGCCGAAGGGTTGTTGGGCACTGAATCCGAACTACTACCCCCATTACCAGCAGGTGGAGCTGAGCCTGAAGCCGGAGGTTCGCGCCCCACCGAAGAAACACTAGATGCAACACTGTATTGCTGCATCATTTGAACAGCTGCATCTAGCAGAGTCTGTCCATAGACAGAGAGAGAGAGTTAGAATGGCACATTCACTCAACAGCGACTAGTCTTACCTGAATGTTCCTCAAACACTGAATGCGAGCCTCAACGTGCCGCCGCTCGTGGCCCTCCAAGTTCCTCAACTCTTCCTCGGAAAGGGCGGCTAAATTAGTGGGCGGCATAGGGGGAGGAGCCATAAAAGGCATGGGAAATGGAATGGGGAATGCATGCGTTGGAAAGCCGAATGGGGCGGCGAAAGCAGCCGGAGGAGGAGGCGGCACTGCGCCTGAAAACACACAAAACAACATGTGCTGAAGTTTTCACCTCAACTATTCTCGTTATTATCTACTATAACAATATTTGAGGTAAATAGATCAACATTCTCATGCTATTTCATCATAAGGACATTTTTCTGAGTTCATAACCAGAAAGACGACTGCCAACCCCCGCTCTTGGGGAAGTTCAACACTATCTTAAACAGGAGGTATTGCAATGGAGTGCCTAGGGAATACCGAAATAATAGAGAAAACCCAAAATGTAGACAATGTTCTGATTCGCACCTGCAAACGGCGAGTATCACCTAGCGCGCCTAAGGACACCTTTACACACTAATTTCCTAACTTTACCTTATTCGCTATTAAATACTATCGGATCGTGGCAAAAGGAATCGAGGACGCAACCAATAATCCATAAAAAGTTGTAAAATCCCACTCACCAGGTTGAGCCGGGCCAGGGCCAAAAGCTGGGGCTGGTTCAGCTCCGGGCGCTTGTGCATTTGGCGGTGGCACAGCCCCCACATTTACGCCCGGATTAACCTTTAAAATAAACATTGTGTTTGCTTGGAAAGGCTCAAAATCCCGCCGTGTACCTGATTATTGAAAAACTGATTCGGCGCGGCGAACATATTGAAGAACTGATTGGGGCCGTTGGGCGGCAGAGGCGCATTTGGAGGCTGCGCCCCTTGAACGTTATTATTCGTTGGCGGTGTCGGAGCGCGTAGAATATTCAAACGACATGTTGGGCAAGTTTGCTGCCTTTGAAACCAGGATCTGCAATCAATAAAACATTTTTTAAATGTTCATTTGCGCGGCTCAACTTACCGAAGACACGAAGTGTGAAAAATATGGTTGCAAGGCAGCTTTTTGCAGGCCGTTGCCATCTCTTCTCGGCAAATAATGCAAACGTTATCAGTGGCCAGCAATTCTTCGGGAGTAGCGTCCGGATACAGAGTGTTCATGTTGTGGATGGCTCGCCTCGACAAAATCACATCGCTAAATGCCTTCTTAAAGTCCCTAATCGTGTAGTACATGGGCCTGAACGCGAACAACGGCAAAGTATAAATTCGCACCTACAAGACGGTTGTTAGTAATTATAACGTTGCACATTTGAGCAGAGAGCTCACCATAATGGCAACAAAAGCCACATAAAGGATAACTTTGATAAATCCCATCACTAGCTCTGTGTAGAGCAAGAAAACCGCTTTGTTATCCCAAGGAGTTTCACTGTGCAGATCCACTGAATGTAGGGCATACTTAATACCAATATTAACAACCACAGTGATCAACACTGCGTATTCAAATCCAAACACCAATTGAACTGAAGCTCCCTAAGAAAAACTGTTTCTTTACGAACTTTTCTTTACGTTTGCATTATCATCCACTCTTACTTTGGTAATTGTCGAATGGAAAGCGTGAATTATAAAGTGGGAGTCCAAAGCGCCCAACAGTAGCAGCAAGCTGAGGACCCTGATGTGAAACAGCCAGCCAATCATTGGACTTCGTTCCATCTGAAAGAGCCTCCGTAAAAATCAACACTTAGAATTCTATACAAGCTTACAAAGTCCACTCTGTCTTCAGCTAGCCAATGGAAAGACTTGAGAAACAGTAGCAGGGTGAAAAGCGCCACAAACTTTGGGGTGAAATCGTCTCTAAACACTGTGAAGGCTAGACAGGTTTCAGTTATCGCATACCAAGAGCGTTCCATCAGGTGCTGAAATTTTTGGGAAATGAACCGGGATAACTAGTTGAAGCAAGCAAAACAGACCTCAAACTCCGTAGTTCGCAACTGTCCAAAAAAGACTTTTCTCATCAGCTTTCCCAATATCCAAACCCCAATAAAGGCTTGTATGTACATGACCTGAAAAAACCAATTATCCATGTATAGAAAAATCAGAAGCACTCCAAAACGGTCCGGAGAACGCCACGGTTGTAAACAATGGGAGAATTTAACAAATAAACACTTACAGCCATACTAGGATTAGATTTGGTGATATAAACCACCGAAGGGTAGAACTGCTTTTTCTGATAATATGCATTGGCGAGAACTACGGCCGTTAAGCTGAAACTCACAAACGATATACCGATGAACTTCATTTTGCCGACAATAGTGCGTATTTAGTAAAACATCTGTTAAAAGCGAATTTTAAACTACTCAAAAACTTTTTCTATGGGCTGTTGTTTTTAATCACTCACTCGGTGATAGCCGTCAGAAACTGACTCAAATTCTTCAGTGTTGCCGCAGGTTTTTTCTCTAAAACCATAAAATGCTTACAATGGATAGCAGCCTAAATTTTTTGAAGCCAAGAATCAATTCCTCAAAGTTTTGATATTATCTAGTGTATTAGTTTGATCAGGAAATAGTCACACGCTTGTAAACACTATCGCGCTCTATCGGCCATATCGCAAAGCAGCCAGCGTGGACCACGCTGATTGGAGCATGTATCTAGGCAGGTGAGCCAAAATGGAATATTTTCCTTAGTTTCAAGAAAAATTCGCCCCCCATGACGAAAGGCTCGAGACACTTTCAAGAAATTTTCTACAAACACAATTACTATATTATTTGTAAAAACATTAAGTTGAAATAATGCTTTCTCAGGGACAGCAGACATAAGGAAGGCCAAATACAAACCGTAGAGGCTGCAAAATATTTGTATTACTCTTATAAAGTGTGGATGATATTTATGAAAAATTAAAACTCTTACATTCGGAAAACGAACAAAAAGGAGATTCTGTGGTGCTTTAGCAAGGCAAAACCATGTAACCTAAAGGAATTATATAAAATACCAAGACTTTGTGCCTTAGCGTGCTCTTAAACTACCGGCAAAAATTGGAAATAAAACAACGCAACTAATATTCTCTCTTCTGTTTCAACATAAAACATAAGTTAAATTTGACAACAAAACTGTGCTACAAGCTTAAAAAGTTCCGATGTATAACTCGTAAAATAACACTCTGATAAACATGTCTGTTTGGATTTTATACATCTATAGTATTCATGACAAGGTGGAATTTAGCTGGGATAAATATATTAAATTAATCTAATTTTTACAAACAGTAAAGCACTAAAGAATAGAAAATATGATTTGTTTTTAAGTAACTAAATGTAATTGGAGACAAAATTTGAATTTTGTACTGAAATAAGCTGTGAGGATGTTGATCAACAATGTTACTTAGATGCTATGGATGTTTTAGTTCACGTTGATATCAGCTGGAAACAAAAGATTATCTCATCAAAGCTGTTGGGTGCTTAATGTAATGAATATACATACAGATTTCACTGTTGATTTGATAAAGTTTTTCCTAGCGGTGAGGTCAAAATCTGGATAGTTATCGTAAACCCTCTGGCAAACAGTCTTCATGGTGATTTCTTCCAAATTAGCTCCATCTAGTACACTCTTGATGAACGTTTTAATCTCCTCGTCCTAACAAAAAATGCCCCCTTGTCATGCGGCTTCAGCAATTAGCATTTACTTACCGTTGGTGGCTCGCCTGATTTTGCCTTCTTCTTTGCTAAAGGCTCATCTTCTGACGAACTTCCTTCATCGATTTTATCACCGTCTTCTTCATCTGATGATACGTCTTTAGGCTTACGTCCCCTATAACCAAAATAGTAGACCAGGACCAAGACTAGAGCAGTTTAAATACCTTTTCCCTTTGCGCGTGGCGGGAGTTGCACCTTTCGCCGGCCTGCCTCTACGCGAAGGAGTTTTCGACTTGCCCTTACTATTCGCCTTCGTTATGGACCTTCGGCGTTTGGACTTCGGCAAGTCCTAAAACAAACATGTAACTGCCGTCCACAACTCCACAAATTTCTGCTCACTTACATCACTTTCTTCCGAAGAACCGCCGCTTAAACTGATCTCATCTTCTTCTGAAGAACCCTTCTTATTGCGGCCTCGCTTACGTTTGCTGGCCGCTCGTGGTTTTTCGTCGCTGGCATCTGACACGTCGCCTGGTTTGAATTCCTCATCACTCGAACTATCATCTTTGAGGTTTGCTCGTTTACCTAAAGACAAGAAAGAATTCTTTATAGTAAACGTTTGATGTAAACGATAAAGTGTTTCCAAAGGTTTCAAGTGTAATAGTATCAACAATCGGCAATAAACAGAGAAAAAGCCTCGAGCAATTGTTACTGCAGGACGGAGCTGCAATTGTCAACGGCCACTGCTTCTCTTCGCTTGTTTCAAACAATTTGCAGGATTTAGATCTACACACAATTTAGAAAACTCCTTAACAGCAGAACAGGACAGTCAACGAATGTGAAATAAATCCACTGGAAGTTATCCGAAAAAAAGTATTCAAGTCCGAAGGTTAGTAATGAAAACCTAAGGTAAAACCTGAAAAACGTCCGTGCTATCGCATTCTGAACATTCGCAGCTTATGCAGGCTAAATGTGATTCGTACTACTTTAGAAACTGAAAGTTGAATGTTAAATGAATAAGCTCATAGCGTGCATAGTCATCAAACACTATTAATTACATTGAACACGAGCATGACCAAATTATCCCTGTACCAACCAGAACTCAACTAAGCGATGAAAAGTAACAAAAGCATTCGATCGAAATACCTTTATCTCGCCTAGCTCGAGACGCATGTCTTTCGTCGCTGGAATAATCATCATGTGACGAATACCCTAGAGACAAAGAATGTGTTAACTTAAATTGGAAATCCTGCATTTTTGCTACATTTCTTTAACTTTTCCAGCCCCTAAGTTTTGATGAAATTTAGATTCTCACCCCGGTTATTTGCTCGAACAGCAGAGGCCCGCTTTGGTCTTCCAGTCCCGCCGACCGGCTTTCCAGAATCTGACGGTTCCGAAAGAAATTCCATTATTCTGTCCACAAGGTCGTCTTTAGTTCCAGTTTTGGTAAGATCCAGAATTTCGCAAGTAGTCTTCAGGTATTTCAACTAAAAACAGTTAAGCATTGAAAAAAACTGCCACGTCATTAAGCAAAAAAAAAACGAACCTCGGTTTTTTTCAAGAATTCAACCTTCTTTTTATGCTCGTCAGAATCGGAGTCAAAAGCGAATCCACTGAATTTTCTGATGTTTTTCTTGAAAAGGTTTTTATTTCCCTGCACGTTAAAGAGCAATCGGTGTAGAAATTTCAGATCGTCATTTTTAAAGCGAGTTATTGAGGCTTCTACCCGAGGGATTTCTCCCAAAGCTGTTCCCGATCCTTCTTCAACTTCCACCTTACCCTGTAAAAAGACGCAACGTTTTCATAGAGAATTTGTTGCAATAGTGCAACCTTACAGTTTCTTGTTTCTTCACGTCTTCTTCAAACCGCTGAACGTTTTTACGCTCTCGCTTCCCAGATGTTTCCAAAGGCTGATCCAACAAGGGCACCCCCTTCTTTTTATCGACTTTCTCTGGCTTTTCATCAGCGTCGTCTTCTCCGTCTGAATAATGATTTTATGTAAAAAATGCACTAAAGTAGGCTGTTATTTTACCTTCAGCTTCTTCGTCCTCTTCTTCATCCTTTTCACTAGCAGTGCTTGCTTTCTCCTCCTTGTCTTTGGGCTCTTTTGCATTTTTGGCCTCTTTCGATGGCTTGTTCTCTTTCTTAGCATCACTCTCCTCTTCGTTGTCAGCTTCGTCTTCCGATTTGCCTTTTTTGGCTTCTGCTTTTACGTCATCATCAACTTTTTCTTTCTCGTTTTCCTACATTCGTCAAATTTAGAGAACTTGAAATCTGATGCAAATTATATCTAGTCCAAATGTTTAACAGAATACACTAAATCCAATTGCGTTTGACTATGGCCTTACCAATACTGGCCTATTTGTGTTACTTAAATTATAGTTTAAAAATCTCACCTCTGTTTTCTCTGCCTTTTTGTTTCCCTCCGGAACCGGGGTGTCTTTCTTCTCGGGGGTTTCCTGGTCTGATTCACCTTCGGTGCTCTCTTCCTTGGGTTTATCTACATTTTCCGAATTCACATTATTTTCTACGGGTTTATCAACTGGAGCATCCTTAACATCGACTGAATCTTGAGACGATTCATCTGTGTGGTTATCAGTGGCATTTTTATCATTTGCCTGCAAATAAACAGTTCGTATAGATAGCTAGTCACATTCCTAATTCATAAGATTTCGAGGTGAGGAATGCATTTTTGTGCTGTGCAATCAATGGCGCCCCAAAGGTAGCATGGCCCGATAAATGTTAAGAGTTTGGTTTAAAAAACGGGCTTTTGCTTTTATTAAATCAATAAACAAATTAAAATTGAACTATCTGCGAATTTTACTGAAAACTAAACGTGACTTGGAAGCTCTTTTTGCTCATGAGCTAGTGAACTATGGGAATAAACGCCTCGAATGAGCGTCACATGATTGCAATGTCGAGGAGCTTTCCAGTTCACGATTATCCATCTATTCTAGACAACCTGTCGATGAAATTGCACCTGAAAGTCCTAAGCTTGAACATGTGGATTTCTGAATAGAAGCCGTAAATAGTGTTCGAACAAAATGGCCTTAAACGATTTTTTTTTAACTCAAATCCTCATGGTGAAAAAAAATTGAAGAATCGAAACGAAGTAAAAAATACTTTGTCGCCCCCATAAGAACGAAAGTAGGTGCCTTCAGCTAGTTTGCGTGGAAATTTATTATTGAAGCCAAAAGCGGAGCCTTGAAGGCAACAGTTGAGAATTTGGGGCGCATTTCCAGCTAGAACATTCACAACAGTATCACATGTGGATGAGGCTTCTGGTTTTAACCTTGACACATTTATTGGACTGAAAATCCAAATCTGATGAAATTTGAGCTGGAGATGAGGAAGATGTCCAGCAAAAGCTAGGAGTAGGAAAATGTGCTCACTGTGGGGCCAATTGCACATTTTATCAATGTTTACCAACCTCAAATGGGCAAACAATGACTTTTGAAGCGCAATCACGCACAAAGTGCAGATCAGCCCCAGCAAAACAAGCCCACCGATTGCAATAAAGCCATCGTTTTCCCATCAAAACCGGCAGTTTTTCAGGAAAAACGTTTTCCCGCTTTTTCAAGCATCAACACGCCATATTGATTTCGAGTCAAACAAACATAGCGATTTCGCCGCCGCAAGGCGGCCGATTTGCCCCCAATAAAAAGGGGTGAACTTTAATCAAACCGATTGTTGCCTACTTGCGTTTTAATTTAACGAAAATCCTCCTTACTTACCTCTGATAAACTACTTTTTACGGAATCACCTTCAGTAGACATCGCAAATGTCATATACAGCGTCTAGTAATAATGGCCGTCCAATGAGGAGTTCTGCACCGTTGCCAGGTGCGAGTCCCTAATTGTCCTAATGTGTAGTTAAATGGCCTGGAATTTCCTTGATTTTCCCCAAGAATCATTTTAGAGCTAAAATCTCCAGCCAAAGCTAATGCAAAGTGGACGAATTTTGTTTCCCCACAACGCACACTGTCTTTTTTCAGCTTTCGTCTCTAAACTTATCAAATTACTACGCCGTTGAGGATGCCCTGGCAACGCCGAATTATACAGTGGACCAACTGAGTGGTAATAGTTGGCGCTGTTGTAAACCCACTGGGTATTCGCTGGTTTACTACATACAAATACGTTTTATGAACAACCCAACACTGCAACAATAATTAATTTACTATTTCTGTATAATTATAACTTCATTACAGTTTACATGAAAATATAATCGGAAGCAACACTTTCAATGAGGTTGGAAACCCAATGAAAAGGGGCCAAAAAGGCCAATTCCGGAGTTTTTCTAATTTTTTCTGTATCCACGCAAAACTCCAAATAGTAAATTCCAGAAAAACAAATAAAAGCCGTAGCTGTTCAACAGAACTGTCCTGACATCTAACGAAACAGTCTGAAGCATTCCAACTTCAATTTTCCTGTGCCTCCAAGTTAGGTTAGAAAGTTTAAGATGTAAATATTTACTCTCGTCCGATCTAATGTTGAACTCAAGAGATCTTTAATATCCATCCATGGCAAGTGTGGACAGTTCGCAGCCCTTCATTAGCTCGCCCTCCGAAGCCACGTCCATTAATCAAGATCCTTTGGAATGGAACCAAAAGAAACGAACAATGATCATAAATTTGGGGCTCACAGATCATTCCGAGACCGGTAGAACTTTTCTTTCAGTGCATTTTCCAGCTCTTAAACATGTAGATTTTTAGGAGAAACGCCGACCCCAACCAGGTTTATTCGAAACTGCGAGGAAGTTGGTTTGTTCCAAGACCTCCAGCACGTCAATCCCTTCGACGAGCAGTTTAAAAAAGCCATCGAAAACTCCGCTTCAGTCACTTTGCAAGTGCCTGCGCACCCCTCCGACGGCAGTCTACACACGCCGCAGATTTGCCCCCATTTGCAGACGAATCCTGAAAATCACCATGACTTCCATTCCGTTGAATCAACCTCACTGACTAGCTTGATCATTTCTCATTCTTCGCCGAGGGATGATGAGGCCGACGATGGGTTTGATGATGATGACGATGGCAACTCTTTGGTGATAGTGGAAGCAGAATCCTCCAACGATCACGAACAGTGCCGCCCATGTGACGAGAAAGCGCCAGCGCTAAACGGCACGAAAATCAGGCTTACGCAAGCTCCAAAACGCGGAAGGCAAAGATGCCTGAAAAAGCCCACTAGAATCAAGCTGGTGCCGATAGAAAAACTATTAAACAGCAGTCAGGGAGATGAAGTCAGGCCAGAAAAAAACATCGCAAAAGTTACTGGTGAACCTCAGAGTGAAACCGGCAAAGAAACGGCGAATGCTACAGTGGAGGTCCAGAGGCAGAGGGAGGCGAATAAAGCGGCCCAGATACGCTGCAGGAAGAGAAAGCAGCAGGACTTTGAGGAAATGAAGCTGGAGAATGCGAGGCTGAAAACTGAAAACGCCAACTTGGAGAAACAGATACAGAAGCTGCAACAAATCATCAGAGGCAAGTGGGCGAAAATGATCAAGCCTTTCGGGCGATTTTCCAGTTTTTAAGTTGTCGCCGATAGGAATTTGCTCTGGTCCAAAGTCCCATCTGCGACAGCCTAAAAGCACCGATTGAGCGCACATTTTTTATTAGAAAGAAGACTTACTATGGACTCAACTAGTAGCCCTACAGAGGCGATGCAGGAAAATTCCACACTTGATAACCGGATATTGGAAAAGCCCGCTCAAAATTCACTGCCTTTAACGAAGCGGCCAAGTGAATCGAAAAAGAGGAGACGATTCAAAAGTTCAGCTGTGAATGTGCGAAAGTCCTTAGCCCCGATTGTCCCTAAATTAGTCCTTCCTTTGCCTGTTCCCGGGAATAATCCGGTAAGTTCCGCAGTGCAGAACTTGCCGAATTCTGCCTTGCAGAATAGTTTGAACACCATTGTAGTTGTTTATCCCAGAGCAGTTCAACCAGTAAGTAGTGCCATTCACCATATACTTCCTAAATGAATTTCAGTTATTAATTTCTCCAACTATGTGCCTTAAAACACAAAAGTCCTGCTTTGTGTTGCTTACCAATTTTTTAGTATGTGTATTTACTATTTTATAATGTTATACAGATAAAAAAACGTTGCAAAACCCTTCCATATATCCGATGAAACTTGTAAAGACCCAATCAGATATGTGGATTTTTTGGGCAATGCACGCAGCTCCTCCAAAAAAGTACAGGGTGATTTGAGTTGAGCTTCTAGACCATTTAGGCGGCTTTCGATCATATCAAATAATTCGACGTGGATTTTTAGAGTATGTTGCCCTTTATTCACTTAAATATACTACTTTTTTACGATTAATTCTCTAACATTAGGAACCTCGGCCTTTAACGTTTCGCTTCATAGTTCAAAGAGTTCGGAATCCCTTGAACGGCATCCTCGGCTGGATTATAGTCTGCAGCTAGATAACTCTCCAAAGCCTTCCGAAGATCGCCAGAAGCGAATAGTTCTGGTTCGTATTCGTAGAAATACGCAATATCGTTCCAGTTCAGCCCTAAAATGATGAAGTTTGTTAGTGATTTGAGTTTTAGTAGTGAGTGCCACTCACGTGATAACGGGTTTTGCCACAAAGCTTGCTCAATAGTTGCCGGATTCTAAAACATCGCAAAATCCTCATCTCATTGGTTGCCCATAAAAGCCTTCACTTACCTCATTTCTTCTCCCGATCCGGGGGACGGACTTTGAGGCTTTCATGAAGAATTTTTCAAAATCGGAGTTTCCATGCTTGTTAGCACTTCTGCCGATTCTTGGAACGCTTTTGGCGGCAGTCAGGAAATACTTGGGCGATTCTTCACTGGCCACTGCCAGCAAACACATGCCAAAGAGCGCAATTAACAGCCGAAAACTTACGGAAATCATGTTGGGACTTAGTGAAGAAAAACGCTGTTTTCTCGGTTTTTATAATCGAGTTTTGATTCATTAAAATTCGGTCGGCGTCGGTTTTATTAGGGCGACTGGGAGTGGAATAATGCATTAATGCCCGTATGCGTTTCAGGCAAAATCGCATGTTGACTTTGGAATACCAAATTATTTTTAAATGAACCACCTTTAATTGGTAATTGTAACCAACAGTTCAAGCACAAACTGGTGAGTCTTGCAGCTTTTTGGCCCTAGTAGAATACAGGATTCCTCCCTGATAGCTCCTAGCGCGAATTTTGCTAAAATCTAAGTCTGGATCAGGACTATGTATAGGAGGTGATTTGCATAGATCGGCAATGTAACTTGAAAAAAACTGATGTTTCATTCACTCTATTAACGTTATACAATTATGTATTCAATTTCGACGAAGTAAAATAAATATACGAATTAACAATCTTCCGCTGAAATGAATGCAACGAAACGTTAGCACCAATTCGATTAATTCACAATATCCGTACTAAAGTGCTGATCTGCTTTGATACCAGCCTATGGCAGCAACTGTTCTAGTAATCAAATGAATTAATTATTATTGTTTAACCTCGCAGTGCATCCAATTCGATAAAATTCCTATTCAAATAGCTAGACCATACACAGACACAATACAAAACATGGTCTTGTTCTCCCAGCGGACCGTGCAGCTTCCATCAGTGTTGTTGTCCCAGTAGCAGGAGCTGGCCGTGTGCAAACCGGCCCCATTCTTCTGCATGATCGTGCAGGTGACAATGTACTTATAGGGTTTCATCAATTTGGTCAGTTCTGATGTGCAGGCCTCCACTACAGCGGTTGTCCAATTGTTTACCTTATTCTGCTGGTAGCTGTTGCCTCCTATCACTGTCTCGATGGCGTCCTTAATAATTTTACTCACATCGTCCACCACAAACTGTCCTTCCTCCTGCAGGTCTTGTTCCAGAGTCTCCTGTGGGGTTTTCTCCATACTTTTCCTAGAAGAGGTTTGCTTCATCAGATTCAGTTACAGTTGTTTTCAAATTTTATATGGTAAAGTCTAAAATGTTTGGCTTGGAATTACTTACACCCAGCTTTTCAATTAAATGGGAAATTCCTTAATTATTCACTGTTTTATGCTGGATTTTCAGCAAATGTTGCGATCAAGCTGTCAGTGTCATGGCAACTGCAAATATCCGTCATTTTGCAGGCTTGCCAGCCAAATATAAATGGAAAACTAACAGTAAAAACAGAGACAGCATCATTGGCAGGGCACCCCAACTCTTTTATTAATTATAACAGTTTCTTATTAACAGATGTTCTTTTTATAGCAGTCGAGACTGCATAAAGGCACTCCAGTCCTGGAACATGAATATTTTTTCGCATTTCCGCAGCCCATGCGGCACAAAATCGGCTCAACTGCTGTCGGGGCCTTTCCCGTTTTCAAAGGATAATCGATTCCTTCGGGAAAAACCAGCAGAGTTGAATCGCACGTTTGTTTGTAGATAATCACTGGGGCATTAGTGCGAGTTGTTTTGCATTTGGTCTGCTTGGTCGCTTTGGAATCCTGTTTTTTTAATAGGCGTTCCATCGTTTTCTTCTTGTCTTTTTCGCGCTTTTCATCGGCCAGCTGTTTCCTTTTCTGGGACTTGATTGCTGCTTTTTGTATCGCCTCGGCTGTCATCACTTTCTCTTTGTATCCTAAAAAATACAACAAAGTTAAAATAATGACACAGAAAACAATTTTCGCACTATAAAGCTGATTCGAGTAATTTAAAAGGGTCCAGTTCAGGCCATGTTTTCTTTTATTGTATTAGTAAACACTTTCGCACTGGAAACTAGGTAAAATTCCTCACATTTTGCGGATTTTCGCATTAAAATCGGGGTTAAAACCAGGGGCGGATTGTCTATTAAATTAGAAAAATTATCGTCGTTTTGTGCAAGGGTGGCAAGTGAACCATTGATAAGGAAAGGTTGGCAGTTTTCTCAAAAAATGCTTGAATTCAAGAAGTTTTAGATTTGCCTGGTTTTTTTTTTGAGTTGCACAATCCACTTGAACATGACGCTGCTTTTTTCGAAGTTTCTCATGAACCCTTAGAGTCACCGAATTCGTGTTGGCATCGTTGGATAGAGAATTGAAAAGTCGATTCAGTCGTAACAACGTGAGTGAGGAAATTCTAGTAGTTTTGAGCCAGAAATGCAAGATTATGCCAAAATTTCATGTGTTCCGTCCCGTTTTTGCTCATTTTGCCTCCGAGAAATGTGATGACCCCCATGACCCCCCCACCCCTGGATCTGCCCTTGATTAAATCGAGTAGGTTTTCATTAAATACTCACCTGTAGGAAGCGACATTAACGTGGGAGTTGCAGTATTGGCCTCACTGCCTCTATCATACATGGCCCTTTGCCGGGCCGTCATTAGGGCCGGATCCTTGGGCTTGATTTTCTTCAGTTCATCATCGACATCCTCCAATTTTCCACTTTCTATGGCTGTAAGCCATCGTTCTTCATCGCTGGAGGCGCTGTCGCGTTTTTTGCGCTTTTTATTATTTGCACTAGTGCCACTTGTGCTCGGTTTACTTATGGGCGGCAATTGCTTCGGCGAGGGCTTGAAACTGGAGCTGTTTTCATCTACAATTACCAGTTCATTGGATGAGGACCCGTCGTCTGATTGGGCTGCTTTCGGTCGTTTCGATTTGCCCTTTTTGGATTTCTTCAAAAGGTGCTCCTCTGTGTCCATCCTAGTGTGCTCTGCAATAATCGCGCTTCTTCAATGTGTTTTTCTGTTATAGCGGAGCCCTAACTGTCATTGTTTACCTTTTTTTTGGTTAAGTTGTCACAGAGCATATAACAAGGGTTATATGAGCGCGGTTGCCTGACTTGCTGCTCGTGGCTATTTCCATTGTTTTGTTCGAAGCAAATGACTGAATAATAGTCAAGCCAAAAACAACATTTTGCTTAGACTGAGTTGCTTGAACGAGTAATGCACTGGATATACGTGTTTTTAATGGGTTTCTGGCAACTGCCTTCCGGACATGGCATCGCCGCTTTCACTATCGCGTGACAGCTTAATATTTGAAAACATTCGTTAAAGTTGTTTACGATATAGTTCTCAGACGAGCCTCCGTAGTTAAATGCAAAGGAAATAATCAGCTAGAATGAAAAGACGTCGAGAAGAACAGCAAAAGCACGAAGGCAAGTTTTAACACTCGAAAAGACCCACGCACTTTATAGTTCAACGAACTAAAGCCCCTTTATTTCTCTTATTTAATAGTCATTGTCCACCCCAAACTCTATGAAGAAACTCTTGTGTTTTCCGGCACAAACCTGGATATTTTCCTCATGCTGCTTTTGCAAAACTTTCACACCACGTTCTACTTTGAATAATTAACCGTACATAACTGAGTGCTTCGGAAGTGACCATCCCTCTAACATCTTCAGAAACACCGAAACCGACCACATTGGAAGTCTGTGAGCAAATGTGTAAAGTAGCTATGCTTAGAAGAGAAGGACCTAAACTCCTCCATGAGATACTAACAGCTGAAACCGAGGCAAGGATGAAATGGTTGAGGAACCTGAAGTTTGAGATTCCTGCTGAACATAAAACACTTATGCCCGATTTGCCAGTAATTTCAGCCCCTAACTTTGAGCAGAAACAGAAGGTAGCATGGACCACTTACGTTCAAGCTAAGTGCCCTTTTTGAATCGGTTTCAGAGATATGAAGAACAAAAGAGGCTGCTCACATTGATTTCAGTCTACGAGATGCAGGCTAAATGCCCGGTTGCCCGTATTATAGATAAAATATAATGACTAAACATATTGCAAAACTTACGTATTAAGTTTCATATTTTGCAATATTTTTAAATAAAACGCCAATAAATTAATTAGCTGATCAATTTATTTAACAGTCCCTTAAAAAAGCCTTACATACCTTGAGCAACATAAACATCTAGATAGAATTAGCCACTAATTTTCCTAATTTTCCTTGTCAGCTGTTTTCAAAGTGCTTAATGTGCCTGTATATCATTTCTAAACAGTGAAGCTTTGGCAGCGTTTCCTACAAACAAAGAGATGCACTCACGAACATTTTATAACTTCTATAAGCACTTAGCAAGTCCCGAGCAACGACCTTTGCACTTCAGACCCTTACCGTAAATAAAGGAATCAGTTTCTGTTGATTTGAGCCTTCATGGACTATCAAACTCAGAACGTGTACTACTTTGTGCTGAAACAATGTCTTAGATCCCACGCGGGCATTCTCTAGCTGAACTTACCCTTAAAATTACTTCGTTAATAAATACTTTTTGAACTTGTTCATATGGAATATATAAAGCAGTCTTTCTAAAGGCAAACTTCGAGCATGTTTGGTAACCGAGCCCCTTTACTATCAGGAGGTTTTCTACAAAACAATCGAGATTAGCTACTAAGTTTCTAAGGCAAAATAGCTTACCTTCACGTACACTAAGCAGGGCCTTGCAGAGCAACCATGCCAATACTATCAGTAGGGGCACAGCATATAAAGGGCTGAAACTAGGCAGATTCACTATAAGAAAACATAGAAACCCCATCACAACTGCGGTTTGTTTTAATGAAAATCGTTCGGCATTGTGGCTCAGCGCCACACTCAAGCAGCCCAGGGACTTCTCCACCTGGATCGAAATCAATTTTCCCATGGAAAATTTGAACCAATCGCTCTCATATCCACAAGACTTTCATAAAACACATTTTGAAGTTTTTTTAAACTTTTTTTAGGTTAGATGAAATGACACAAGTAAACAAAACAGACGAGGGCGAAGCAACGAGTAATAAGAAGTAGTATAAGTAGGGTTACTAGCGACAAATTGTTGATGTTAGCAGAAGGGTTTCAATTTTTATGTTGTTTGCGGGTGCCGGCCACATCCAACTAGCTGGAAATCGTTATAATCTCAACCCAAATTAGTTGCAATTTACTAAATCAGTTTATAATTTTATGGATTACCCCCGGTAATCATTGTACGGTCATGTCACTGTTGACAATATTATTGTCAAAAAAAAGAAAACAAACTGCATTTAATGAACAATTTTTGCTATTTTTTCCATGAAATCCTTGCTTGGAAAATCCCTACGGATGATGAGGTGATATCCCGATTTCAAGAACCTTCCTGAGATCATCATGGTGCTGGATTTAAATTCCCCGGCCCACACGTTGTGGAAGAGCGATCGTAAGTTTCAATTAATCCATAATAAACGGGCTAGTTTTTGTTAATTGGCCAGTAAAATGTACGTGGAAGACTTCAAGGAACGTTTACCCGAAATTTCGGATGCTTTGGAGTGTATGTATCAGTGTTTTCTTAAGTCTCCGAGTGCCCAGTGTCTTTGGACGTTTGATACCATTCAACTCATAAGTGTTCTAATTACAGGCAATTTTTGCTTCTTTTTCAGTGTATCGGATCCAGCTGGAAGCCCCAGTCCCAATACCGATTCTATGCGATGATATTCTGGCAGATAAGCCCAGTTTCCTTGGCCAAGACTACCACGGAGCAATCAGCCACGTGAACGCCTCCGACCTGCTAAATTCCCAAGAAAATGGGGCTTACTTGGTGCGAAGCAGCAAGTCGGCAAACGGTCAATTTTACACGCTGAGTTTAAAGTACCTACATTGCCCATTTAAAGCCAGTACTTTGTGTAATATTTATTGAATGTTTTGTCGGTAGATTCAACAGCAAAATTCACCACTACAAGCTCTATGTGGATCCTGACGGAGGCCTCTATGTGAGGGAGAAACGTTATGATTGTGCTCGATCCCTGGTTGCTGATGGATTAGTTACCATGTATTTAGAGCTGAAGGCGCCCATGATTTTGCAAAGGTTGACCAGCGTGAACTACCACGAAAGCCCCTACATGACTTTCACGCTAAACAAGCGGAAATTGCGAGCCCTGTCCAAGCAGAACGCTCTGTAGGTGACTGAGATTTGCTTGGAGCTGAAATCATTTAGTCTATTTCAATTTCAGAAACAAGAGCGTATCGGAAAGCAATTTTGCGCCCAACAATATCCCACTGTCTCAGCAAATATTGGGGCACAATCTGCCGGAAAATGTTGCCCCAGTGAAGCCCCACGTGTTTAAGCCCACCACATTCAAGGGCTTGAACTGGTGCGAACTTTGCGCCAACTTTTTATGGGGCTTCACCCTGCAAGGCAAAAAGTGTGAGGATTGTGGCGTGATTGCACACAGTGAGTTGCACAGAGTTGCTGGGTTTCCCATAGTTCACACTCACTTTGGTTGTTGGTTTTTAGTTAAATGCTCGGAAAAATTCGCCAACGATTGCGTTCCCGACCTGAAGTATCTACGCGGGGTGTTTGGAATCGAACTAACCACCCTGCTGAGCGCCTATAAAACGGAAATTCCCTTTGTGGTGAAGAAATGCGTGGCTGAAGTCGAAGCCAGGGGCCTGACGACTGAGGGAATCTATCGCCTCAGTGGATTCGCCGATGAAATCGATGCCATTAAAATGGCTCTGGATAAAGGTAGTTTTTGTCACAGGCCAACGGATCGGTGACTAAAATAACTGGTTTTAGACGGTGAAAAGGCGGATTTGTCGATGGAGAAGTACCCGAACGTGAACGTGATCACTGGGGCCCTGAAACTTTACCTTCGGATCCTCCCAGTGCCTTTGATCACTTTCGAAATACATCCCCGACTTATTGACGCCATTCGTAAGCCATTTGCTACACTCAACGGGGCGATTTAAGGATTTTTTGCAAATTCCAGAGCATTCCGACCAGGATTTGCGACTGTCGTCAATTAAACATGCTCTGCTGCTCTTGCCAAAGCCCCACTACGACACGTTGAAGTTCATGATTCAGCACCTGCACAGGTAAGTGAAACTCTCCCGAAAACTGACGGGTTTGGGCCATTTAATTCGTCCTCAGGGTGGCTCGACACGCGCCAATCAACAAAATGAACGCCCTCAATTTGGCCACGGTTTTTGCGCCCACTCTCATCCATCATCCGCCCAATATTATTCCGGACGTTCGGAGCGACATTTTGCTGCTGGAAGTGATGATCAATAAATGCGAAACCGTTTTTTTTAAGTAGCGCAAATTGAGGCGGTTTGTGATGGTTGCTGGCTTTTCCGCTCGTGGGGAAAAGTTGTATTTATTTTATAATGGTCTTGTAGTCGTTTTATATGCTTGTGCGTCTAATGGTTATACATTTAATGTTGCGTCTCTAGGTTGGCAAAGTCCCCAGGTTTTTAAATTTGTCATTTTTTAGCTCTCTATCAAAATACAGTGCACAAACCCGGCAAAAGTTGGCACTGAACGTTACTCGATTTGTGATATAAACGCGAAACTCGAAATATTTCCCTGCCCTTTTTCACATAAACATTCCCTTAGTGGTTGCGTTTTATTATGTTCTCTATGTGCTTAGTGTTACGGACAGCAACCATACAAATTAAGAAGCGTGAATGGGGCGCTTGGTAGCATGCGGAAAAAGTTTGATTTTAAGCGTCTCATTGGCGCTGCTTAAATCAGGTATTTTTAGACAGTTTTACATGTGAAGTCTTGAAGAATGGAAAATATATCCGCATACACTTTGACTGTTTGTTATCTGTTGTCTGCTATTTATCGTTGTGAGAGTCCCCCAACAGTCAGAAGGTCTTCTTCGGTGAAGACGCACACTTCCGCAAGTTTAGCGGCCTTTGCGACCAAATGGCGAGCGGCAAAATTATATTTATAATTTTCTACCGTTCGCTGATCGTCGCATCTAAGGCGCTGATTCCTGCTGGGGAGTTCCACGTGGGTGGGATCTTTGTCATTGGAGAAATACACGTAAGTAACTCTGTTCGTTATCGCTTTGCAGGTCTTTATGTAGTCCTCAATGGAGACCATCAGCACTGGAAAGAACTTGGAGGTTCGCTGGCAGATCAGCGTGTTGTTTTCCATGTAAAAATTCACTGGCTGAGGCGAAAGACACAGAGTGCCATTGATGGCAGGCCGGTTCTTGATGTAGCAAAACTCTTGGTCTGTTGCAGGCTCGAAGGAGTTGAGCGATTGCAAACTGTCGCCGCTACAGTGGCCGTTTTCGAACGATATTTTCCCGGGGCAAATCAGAATCCAGCGATGCCGATGGATGAATTGCCGCCCTGGAAAAGGCCAGAATTGATCCTTGGAAGTCACCGTTTTCCAACCAACCGCTCGGAGTGTGAATGGCAATGGTGCTTCCTCCGATTCCAGCTTTCATCTTGTCGACCATCTGCTTAGCTGCGATCATTTCTTCCAGCTCGGCCTTTTCTTCGGCCATTTGAACATGTTCAGTCTCGGAAAGTTCTAAAATAAACGTTATCTCCTGCTTCACAGGCCTTTTTAATTGCGTCTTACCCACGAATCCACTGGCGGTTTGAAGCTGGAAAATTTGCCCGATTATTACGATGAAAAAAAACGAAAATTTGCCCGATACAACGGCCACTAACAAGCACAACACTGGGTATATTGCGTCCATTGCGCGGCCAGTTTGCGGCACTTACAACGAATGTTAACTAGGCGAGACTGCTCTTTGTTAAGGGCTATTTGCGGTAATTGTTTTTTAACAACCGGAGTGTTATTCAATTGAACATTTGTTGGCTTTTAGGACCATTTTGTTGGATGATTTCAATTTCTTAGCAAGCCAATCCACTGTAGGACTTGTGGCGGAGCAAGATGAGTCTTGCGTTTTTAGATTCTTTGGCCTAAAAGCATGGAAAACATAATGAAGATGAAACTGAAAAGCGCACAGTTGCTCGAAATTGATGAGTCAGTCGGGATTTTGGACCATCGTGAAAAAGAATTCCTTCCTGGCGTCTTGTAAGCACGAATGGCTTGCATCTTCACCTTTTTTTTCACAGGTAAAATAAAACTGGCTTCGCATTGCGAAGCAGGTCTTGAAAGTTTCCGGATTCGCCGGCCATTGCTGCTATAGTAGGCCTTTTTTTGCCCGCGCACTGTAATTGCAGTCAAACTGCTAGGCCTATAAGCGCTAAATCGCCGGTTATACGAGAGTTATGTTAGTTAAGTTGCACTATTAAAACAGTAGTGAACTGAGAGTTTAGGCCTCACGAAAGTATTTTCCATGACCTGAAACGCGAATAAATCGCCAGAATTTGAGTTTGCTTTATATTCGGGATTTTATCCAAAACCAATCAATTTTATCACATTGTAAATTCTATTAGCCTCAATAGAGAGATTATTGGGGCTAATATAATTGCGTTTACGGTTGGAATGCGTGATTGAATCCATAAATAAGTTGAACAGAAAAATGCGAAGCTCGTTCAATAAAATTTATATTTAAAACTTAACAATCATAGGAATCGTGTTCAATAAACATGTGGAATCGAATTGGGTTTGTTGTCTTTCATGTTTATTGCTGCTAAAATGTCCGACGGATCTTCGTCGGGCTGCCCTACCTCTAAGTAACCATTTAGCGAGTAGTTGAAAAGTTCAAAGTCAAATCTGGAATTAAACAACACAACTGTTCGTTGAGTTTTTTCTAGGATTTGCATCTTGCCCACCTATAGATGTGGTACAGTTGTAAAATCTGCGATCTAGAAAGCTGAGAATAGTGGCTAGATATATGAGCGGTAGTGGATCCTTTGCCCGCATTCTTCCATTCCGGTTTAATCACTTCCCCTAGGCCGGCGCGCTTTATAATGTAGTCTTGATCGTCTTCCAGAGTTTCCGTATGAGCAATTATCTGGAAAAAGCGCGAACATTATCATCCAGGACTTTTTCTTTAACGGAAAACGGTCACCTTGATATCAAACATACATGGAGTGCAAAACTCGACTATCGGTGTCCAGTGCATGTCCAACTGTTTGCCTTCTTTCACCATATCGATTAACCAGGTAATGAATTCTGGATATGTTGGATATTTGGGACCGATTGTTTCCTGTTAAACATCGTTTTAGAGTCGAAAATGCGTATTTAGAAAACATCGTTTATTTGGATCATTTTCCCACGTTCTTTATTACGAATTGATAAGGATTTTTCGTGTCGACAAAGAGCAGTCGGTTCAAAGAATTCATAAAAAGAACGAGCGGCAATTTGCACCAAATTTTGGGGTCAAGCGGTCAAGAGACTCAGCAAATTGCCTCTAAAGTGCACGCTAGTGCTTGAAAAACTTAGCAACTGCTGGAGATTAAAGTTTGATATTTGGAACAATTAGAGCAGAAGTTCCATTTAATAAAGATGCCAAATCGCGATTGATTCAGCGCTCTTTTGATGTTTCTGGATTCTGGAAAAGACATTTTTTGCCAAAGCCATCACTCACCTTTTTTCTATATTTTTTGATGATTTCCCTGCCCAACTTGAAGTGATACGATCCGGAAACCGCATGCTGAATCTTATCCCTATAGGCCGAAAGTAGGCGCTCCAAAGGATGGCGCACTATCAAAAAAGACACGGACTTTTCATCTTTCAAAGCGTCTTGTAAAGATTCTAAAGTTGGACGGCCGTATTTCTGCCTGGCTAAGGTTAAAGGCGGTGTTCGACTGCCGCGAAGATACTCTGGAGTATACCTGGAAAATCGTATTTTCCAGGAGCAAAATGCCAGGTGGCTGGAAAGTGCACAAACCCGGCTAAAATGTTGAAATTATACATCCAGGAAGTGCTGGCGGCCTTAAAGACGTTGCACCAAACCATGTGGTGTCGGTGATCGACTAAATACTCCCAAGGGTTTGGACTATGCAGACTGTCGTTGGAGGGTTTGTCCAGCCCCAGCATGTGGCAAGCAGCTTTGAGGTGTTTCCTCCTCAATTCCAGCCGCTTTAACACCAAAGACATGTTGTGGTTCCCAACACTCTCCAAGGCTTGGTTGAGGTTGCTGTTCTCTCTAAACGGCTAAAAGCCTTGAATTAGCGGCAGCAAAACTCGCTTAAACAACTGCATACTCTTTGCATGTTAAAGCTGATCATCCGATGCCGTTCAGGGCGAACGTAGTGATCGGTGGCGACCATAAAAACCAGGAAAACCGGAATAAAGCAAATCGCAGTAAAAAATATCACACATCTTCGGATCATCCTCCATCCGCCTCCTTGGGGGCGCTTAATTTGCCTCAGTCTCATTCTCTCATTTTGCCTTTGTTGGGTCCTATTCCTGCTTGATCCGTTATCACATTGCTAACAGCCTGAGCGCACAGAAGGAAAATCGCCTTTCAACTAAAACAACCCGAAAAACCCCACTATTGATTCCCATCTATTACATAACACACCATCAACGGGGCAAATTGACGGAAAAACGTACCAAAAACCAACGGAAACACTCAATAAACATTGCGCCTGAAGCCGTAATTGTGTTAATGAAAATTGCGGAAAATTAAACTAAAAAGACTATCGGTGTTTTTTTTTGGCGCATTTAAGTGAGGAAATTGCGTTGGCACTAAGCGCGGTAGCTTCGGAACGGCTAATGCGGTCGATTTTCCTCAATGCGCCTCCAACTGACTTGCGCTTTTCCACCACTTTCCATGGAAAGTGCAGTTCAAAAACGCCCAGTTGTTGCCGTTGATTTCCGCATTTTCAAGCCCCATTTGTCCGAATTGGTCAACAAATAGTGTAAACTGTTCCAGAATTAGCGGGGATTTTATGCTGTTTACACCAAACGCCTAATTAAATGTGGATTTTTCAAATCGCTCTTACCGCTTATTGCACGAACTTTTTCACAGATTTCCAATCAAAAAATCTTTTCAATGCAACGCGTTGATCAACTAAAGCGTTCATAGACTTACCAGGATTACTGGTGAAAACACCGCCAATGTGAGCAATAGATAAAGTAATAAATGTGGATTAGTTTATAGCAGGAAATTTTTTTATACGATCTTCACTTTGCAACGATCTATGCGACCATCGGACCGGCGAATTTTTTATGTCATTATTCAAACAATTTACAGGCCTGCTTACACTACTTACCTAATGTTTGCCCGCTTTGAATCAGGCATTGTTTTCCAGGATTTAACTGGGATTCAACTGAAAACGTGTCTTTTCCGATAAGATAACATTGAAAACTTTCATTTCGAGCCACAAAGCTTCAAAGCAACATAAAAAAGTAAAAATTCTTACAAATAATAGTCCAGGAGCAAACTAAAGCTGCTAGATTTTCTTTAACGCAAACCAACTTTATTTCGTCAACATTTCGTCGGGTGTCAGTCAATATATTAACATTCTCTTAAAACCATTAACTAACCGATATTAAAATAAACCTTTAATAAATAACTTAGTCAACAATTGCCTATAAGTAGATCCTATAAATTAGGCCCTAATCTAGCAAACTTAATGCTAAAACTGTGAGCATTTAGACAAATCCCTACAACTAATGGAATTAAAGTAGAATTTTGGGTTGCTTTATAGGACTTGAGCGTTAAGGTGCTTCTAAAGCACCTCAATTTGAAATCGCAAAAAATATCTTACACTAAAAGAAACTTAAAAACAATCGCTCATTCCCGTTCCAAAAACCTGATTATGAAAAATCGCAGGTACTTTGAAGTGAGCACAGAGCCTTATCTAAAAAAAAACAAACGAAAAACTAAAAATATTGCACACGATGTATCACACTTAAGTATAAAATTGCACGACTTTTCTTTTTGCGTATACTCTATCCTATTCACATATGCCTAGATAAAACCACTAAGTTGAGCTTTAAACACTAAAAAACCTTAATAACTAATCTTCTTTATTGCACTTCCGGCCCGCGTAATCTATATCACAAATTTACAATATTGCACTTAGGTTTAAACGAATTTTTCATTGAATTTTCCCAAAAAAATCTTAACTTTATAAAACAAATATACGTTCAGACGGTGTTTGTTCACGGTTTGCATGTAAATGGTTCGAAAAAGTGTTTGAATAGTTGTCTAAAAGTCAGTGTTTTGATGGGTGTTTATCGATGCAAACAGCGTGTAGCGGGTATATGCCCACTATCGATGTTCTGAGTTTTAGACAAACACATTGCGCCGCAAATTGAACGCGTAGCTTAAATATTCCCTAACTTTTAGCTGCGACTATTTTCTCGGTGTTGGCAATTTCACTCACCCTGTGCACCAAAATGCACTCACTCCCACTTTTTCCTACTGCAAGTAACTAATACTAACCACTTCAATTTGGCAGCAGTGTGTTTTCAGTCGCGTCCACCCGATGCTTTGCATGCGACGTGCGTCAAACAGCGTGGGAAATATACACTGCTCGAAAATTGAAATGCTAGTTTAACTCCATCCGAACCTTGCCACATACAAACCCGTTTTTAAAAACTCACTCATTCAGAATCCCCTCCAAACTCCTACCTCATTACCAGTGAGTTATTGTTGGAGGAAACCGGAACAACCGTCGTATAGCTGACAGTTTCCGAATCGCTGCTCGATTGTCCATCCTCACAGTTCAATACGCCACTATCCAGAGAGCTGGATAGAGCGCCACCCGGTTTTCTGGAATATCGTCCGAAAAAGACCGAGTGAGTTTCCACGCTTTCCGCTCCAGACTCGCTGTGGCCATCGCCCAGACTCTCGTCTGTTTCGCTGCCGTTCTGATCCGCTAGCAGCTTCCTATTGAGCAGGACTCTGAGCCTGGACTCATTGGAGTCGGTGCTCAGATACCCCGGATCTTCTGGTCGCAGATTGAAAGGCTGCAGCCGTTTAAGCGATGAGTGCTGGATGGTTGAATGGAACACGCACTGATTTTTATCCGAGATGAAATCATGTGTTTGGATCAGTTTATACTCGGGAAGCGCAGGAGTGCCAACGATGCAGTTCGCACTCCTGTCAGGCTCGTTTTTTGGATGGTTTGGGGTTTCTGAGGAAGACACTGCTTTGGGGACTTTTATTGGAGGTTTTGGGCGCTCGTAGATAGGAGGAGGAGGCGGGATGAGATCCGGAGGCACCACTGGACCATTTGAGGTCGTTTTGATCCTTTGCCTCTTCGAGTGGCGCTCCTCTAAAGTGAGCAACTTTCCATCCTCGTCCACTTCAAGCTCTTTGCAGAGCTTTTTCTCCTGGTACATTTCCCGGAGACTCCCGAGCACTCGGTGGAAGTTGCTGCTTTCCACATGGTTGGCATTCACATCCAGAGCCCCCTGCTTGAAGCTTCCAGTGGTTCGCAACAGGATCTGGTTGGAATTTTCTTCTACACTCTCCTCAAAGCTCTGAGCCACTGAGAGCTTTTCGTACTTGTTGGGACGATCCAGCGTGTCGGGCTCAAACTCATCCGAATCGTTCACAGGGATGTAATGATCCAGACAGTCCTCCACTTCGATCAGCAGCTTTCCAGGCTTTTCCACGCCTCCCTCATAGCGCACCTTCAGGCTCTTCTTGTCCATAGTGGAACAGTTCGACTCCGAAGGAGATGAGGGGTTGCTGCCATAGTTGTAGCCGTTGTTCACATACACTTCACTCACCAGGCTGTAGCTGCCCGCAGGACTTCCAGTGAAGAGCTGAGGGTGGTTTTTCAACACCACCAGCTCATAGTCGTGGTCGTCTCCGTCCGCAGCTTCTGAGCTCAGCTTCGATAAGGTCAGGTGACCAGTTTGGGTGTTGAAGATCGCGTTTTGCATCGTGATCTCTTCGTCCACTGGCAGCGCTGTGCTCAGACTGGGGCTGGCTTGGGAGGAGGCCACTTCCGCATACTCAGACGGAGTGGAGTAACCTGGAAAATGGAAATTTTGCCCTCAAAGTCCAGAGGCTGATACCGGTCGATTACCTGGATGTTTGCCGTTTCGTTCCAGACTGTCGGTTTCGTAGCCAGCGCTGGCCCTTCGGGCGAGCTCGCGGTTTGCCGCCTCCAACATGTTCTTGTGCACGGTCAGCTCGTTGATCACAGCATTCATTTGCTTCTTTGTGAGCGTGGGGATTCGGGTTTCGTCCGCTTGGTTCTCCATTTCGATCGCCTAAAGCACTGCTGAACTCAACTGATCAGAAACAAGCACTCTCTTACCTCATGTATCATATCAGGAGGAGGCAGAGTCGTCCTCCGTTCCACTGGAACTGGAGGAGGCGGCGACATGGGCTTCAGAACCTTCTCCTTTCTGGGGAGTTGCGCGGGCTTCCGATGGCTGCGAGCGGTTGCTTCTGAGGCCGGTCTTGGAGACAGAGCCCTATCGGCTCTGCTATCAGGCAGCGATCTGGTGGGGGATCGAATTCTCCTCTGATTGGACCCTGCAGGAGTGGCGACAGGCCCGCAACGCTCATCCAGCCTTAGAACTGGAATGTCTTCCAGCCATTTCTGGATGCTGTGCTCTTTGCTTTCGTTGCCTGCCGTGCCTGGAGGCAGAATGGAAAAATGTGCCAGAAACTGGTCTGGATGGATCGAACTCACAGTTCTGGCAGGCGGCCAGTGAGGGAAAGTCCGGCAACCTTTGATAAACTGCGCTGATGTCTTGCGGCTCGCAGCCAGGGCAGCCAGAGCAGGATTTCCTGCGGCTGTTCTCCCTCTTTAGGCTGATGACGCTGCCTCGTCTACTAGAAGGCCGGGAGAAGTCGTAGCTGGGCTCCACTGAGTAGTTGGACTCCTCCTCCGGGATGTGGAGGAGAGTGGGGACGTATCTTTTGGTGCTCATCTTCTGCTTGGCGATGTCGATGACCTCGCGGATTTTGTCCAGGAACTCCAGGGCGGCTGGGGGCGGAGCCTGCAACAACACGCCCCTCTAGTAGCCTGCCGAAAAACCTGCGAAACCCCCACTTACTATTAGCAAGTGCGGCTCGAAATAGGCTGGGTTGAAGTAGAGCTTTTTGCGAGCTGCTCCAGACAGTGCTTTGATGCTGTCGGGCCGATCTTCCAGAGTTTCCACAATGGAAACGTTTTCCTCTGGCAGGCGCTCGAAGCTGGAGTTTTCCTGATAAGCCTCCGGGGATGAGCTGTAGCCTTGCGGCGAGGAGCATCTGGACCTGGTTCTTTGCTGGGAGTGAACTATTGCAGAAGTGACAAGTTTCTGGGGAAAAACTTCAAGCTTTAAGCCAGATATTTCAAGGCGAGCTCAGTGCTTACATCGTGATTTTGGAGCAAATCCGGGGCGTTTTCGTTGTCGGAGCTGTTGGTGTCACTGTAGGCGCTTTCCGCAGGCCCAAAATGATGAGTGAGTGAGAGTAGGGGATTGTTTTTCACTACTCCCTCCTCCACGGTCACAATGTTTTGGTTTTTCCTGTCTGAAACAGGTCAATGTTTCCGTTCGTTGAAGGTCCCAGTCGCCCATTCAATTACGTACCGGTCTGTGAGTTTTTGAGGGAATTGCGTTTCTTGAGGTGAAGGTATAAGAAAATGGAGGCCACGTAGATCAGACCAAGAAGAACCGAACAAATTCCGATTGCCACGTACTCTGAGACGCTCAGGCTGTCCTTTTCTGAGCCGGAATGGGCGTCTAGAGAAAAGGCCACTTCGGTAACATCTGGAAAGGTTGCAAAACTGCATGAAATAGCTGGAGGCTTTGGCTAATAGTGTGCTACTGACTGCTGTGTATTTTCGAGGGCGTTCCAACGATTCTAAAGGCCACACAAGGCCCGAAAATGTCTTTATTGGGGGCTGCTAAGGGCTGATCCTCCAGTTCGCGGCACATGAGATGGACCAGAACCATGCGGCCGGACATTTTGTTGCGCAGTTCGGGTTCTCCAATCCACTGGAAGGAGAAATGAGGTTTAAATTGAAAGTTTATGTGCGATTTTCTTTGAGGTTTCTTGACAGTCTTTGGCTGGCGTCAGTATAACTTCGCAGAGTTCTAGAGGCTGGTTCTCTATAACCAGACGAGGTATCAAAGTGCTCTATTCAACGTTTTTGAAAGGAAGCTTCAGGCTATTTCGGCGATGAATTTGAACTTATTCCATTCAGCAGTGTTTGCGCAATAAATTATTACAACTTGGATATTCGTTTATTTTTTTATTATTTTCGCACTGCCCTCTTCACAAGACAATTTTTTAA